GTTGTGTCAAAGACTTGCTTCTTTGTCATCAGCTAAGCCCGAGCATACTTGTGGTTTACGTTGGGGGCCACTTTGCCAGTATCAGACGTTGATATGGGAGTAGCGTATTCCCTCATGGTCTTTCCTGCCTCCCAGACACCGTGCACCAGACAGTCAGGACAGAAGAGGCTCATGCAAACTGACAGGCACGCAGACTGACACCGAGACACATGGATGTGTGGGCAAGTTGCTGGGCAGACAGGGGGACAAGTTGGAGTGGACAGAGGAGCCAGAGGAGGACAGAAAGAGAGAGAGAGGAATCCAAGGTGTTGTACTGTAGACTGCCTCCTGGATAACAGTGCACTGAGCAAACAGCCATGTACACTTAAAGAGAGTCAGTGGTATTATTTGTAAAAAGAAGTCCACTAAGTAAGAACCAATTTTGTAATTGTCAACAGACGTCTGTAAAATTAGTTTTCCAGACATCTGTGTTGCATATAACGGTTGTTTTAACAGCATTTCAGACAAATGCAGCCATTCAAATGCTGCTGAAACAACCATTAAATCCAACATATTTGGTTTTCTGTTTCCAGCATTTTAAATGTGACAAGTTACTGTTTTTGTTGCCATATATGACAGTAAATTGAATAGCGCAAATTGGAGACCTTACTGTAGCCGCTCGGATGGACAGAAGGACAAAAGGGGGTATTCGGCATCCTATATGGCTGCCTATGTCACCAATAGGAGGCCCAACACTGTCAAAGACAGAATGATTAACTGATTAATGAAAATAAGTTGCAGGTCAATTGATAAAGACAATTATCTGTTTACACAGTTGACCCGGGCATGTATAATTTGCATACAGGATTATGGGTTGCACTGATGGATCAGATTGTGTGTGTTTATGTTCCGAGATGCATGCATTTGTTCTGTTAGAGAAATCGTATCAGTGTATTTAAATATCAATCACCACTGACCTCTGAAAGGGAGAGCAGGCTTACGAACATCCCACATGCACTACTACATGTAGAGATGCGTTGCGTTCACTCTGTCAGTTTTATTCGTGGTGTCTATAAGGGAATCCTCACATTTGTTGATGATAAATCCATGTAAACAATAACCAGAAGGCTCTTTGGTGCCCTGGGGTAAAAAAATTGAATTCATGATGGCTTAAAGCGGTTTACAGGAATCTGCATCAGTCACATGTAACAACAGGAGCTGTTCTAAGTTGTGGTGAGGAGGATGTTAGTTCCTTCTTCTGCCTTTGTTGTACGTGACACATGAATTGTTTGTGTTATGCTAAGACAAATGCGCTGGTCTTGTTTGAAGAAAAACATCCATCGATTTTAGTGATTGGCCACTTCACACCCGCAGATTCCATCTGTTTGAACCTCTGCAATCAGTGCTGGTGAAGGAAGCCTTTTTCTATTCCTGAACTGCTGCCACTTTTCCATTGATTGCTCATGTTTGATAATGAGGAAAAAACAGCATTTACAGTTCAAGCGAGCAGATTTGTTGTTTTTCTTTTCCCACACATTACGTCATGGTCAGTCCAGCCTTTACCGAGTTTCTGACATCTGTGGCAGCGCCAGATGTTGCTGCCCTCTGACTGTCTTCTCAACAGCTGAGCGCTGCTGCAGAAAGGTCATCACAGAGATGGATGATGGGCCAGCGATATTTAACACAGACTATAAAATAATGTTAGCAATATGTTGGCCTTCAGGTTTGTGGTTCATATTAATATTCATTTGAGCCCCAAATGATTTCCTAAATATGTTTGCGTTTGCTACAACTTTTAGAAATTGATTTGAAGTTGAGGGGCTGATGTGAACTGGCACACGCATATGTGGGCTATGAACAGCTCTGTGGCATTCAGTGTCTCTGCTGTCAGATTATTCCTGATTGAGTCAATTTAACAAATAAAGCACAGTGTGGGCTATATTTGGCTGAGATCACTGGAGTAATTACCTTGTTTGAAGTCTTTTTACCCGAGCGAAAATGTTTCATTTTTGTCAGCAGGAGTTAACTTTCAAAATGAAAGTAAATGAAACCTGCGGAGCACGAACCCCGCTGTCACTCAGTTTCATGTCCAGATATGAACAATAGCATTCAAAAGAACACTGTACCGCTGATTCAAGGGTAGAGGAATGGTTTAAGTGGGCCTGAAAAGTAATTAGGGCTGGTATTGTTTTTGGTTTCAAACAAACTTCTCCGAACTAATGGCCTATTTGCTTCTGACGCCTTTGTTGAAAAACTCATAATTTCACTGCAGCTGTGCGAGCGAGCGGCGCAACAAGACACACAAAATTTTGAATCTGATTATGCTCAGGTTATTTTGTCACAAGACTTTCATTAGAATTCTGATTGAATTTCTTTGTCTTCAGAGGGCATGTGAATGTTGTATGACACTAACATGCAGTACATCTTCTGTTTCCTTTTCTGTGCGATAAGTGTGGTTGTATGCGTGCGTGTGTATGATTCCATACTAAAGCCTCTGCTGTAGTGAACTGATGGAAAACTGAATCTGAATCCATCGTGTATGAGAATTTTAGTTTAACAGTCTCACTGTTTGGTGTGATTTCGGGGGTGTATTGTGAGTGTCGGTTAACGTGCCACTGTGTGTGGAGGTGTGTGACTGTACTTGAATACATATTGGTTCGGTGTGAGAGTGTGTGTGGGTGCATAAATGTTTGCCGAGCTCCTCCTGCCTCGCTCCAGGCAGAGCTGGCTAACGGAAGAATCCGTGCTGCTGCAGAATCGAGTTGCACTTTGCAGGACGCCAGCCGCGCTGCAGCTCCAGGGACCACGAGCGCCTCTCTATCTCCTGACTGGCAGGCCGCTGCTGAGCCCTGGAGCTGCATGCATGTGTGCCACTCCTGCTCAGTGCAATCAGAGGCACAGATAACCACAGTGAAAGAGGAGTGAGAGCGGCACAATCATTGATGATGGTGTGGGAGAGCAACGCGTGTGGCGGCTAAATAATAAATGTGGCATATCGGGTTTTGTGTGAAGCCAGGACTAAAGCCCGTTCCTGTTGCTGAGGAGAGAGGGGAGCAGCTGCAATGCCAGACAATGTAGGATGTAGAGATTTCACACATTCGACTCATCTAGGGAGAACGTGTGGAACAGAAGTCAATCGATTAGTTGTTTGACATTAATCATTTAAGTCATATATCAACTAAAAATACTGAACATTCACTGTTTCCATCCTTTTAAATGTGAAGATTTTTCCCTTTAGTCTGTTGTGTAACATTGCAGATTGAATATCTTCAGTTTTTGGACTGCTGGTTGGACAAAACAAGCAATCTAAAGACTCCACCTTGGGCTCTGATAACTTCTGATTATTACATGTCATACATTAAAGGTCCAGTGTGTAGGATTTAGGGGGAAATATTGGCAATGTGTTCTCTTTAGTTTATAATTAACAAGAAAATAATGTTTTTTCATTGTTTTAGAATGATTGGTGTTTATATACACAGGGAGAGGGTCATCATCCATGGAGTCGACCATGTTGCACCTCCATGTTTCTACAGAATCCCAGAATGGACAAACCAAACACTGGGTCTACATAGGGCCATTCGCATTTTCAAATCAGCCACCATAGTTAGGAGCCCCTCTAGGACAAGAACACTAACTTGAAACCATTTTATTCAGTATTTTTACCAGGTTAAATCAGTGGGTCCGTTTGTTTTGCAGAGGAAGAGAGCTCTGATAATTCAGCTACTGGTAAAAAAAACCTCTTTAACATCTGGATCTTAAGTTATCAGAGGAAAAAGGTGAGCATGAATTAGCAGGTGCTAGTCTAGCAGCCTGCGATGAGCCAAACAGCACTGGAGAAACAATGATTCGTAACGTGAAATTGCTTTATTCAGTGTTTTTAATGGTTTTAATCACCTGGTTCGTTTGTTAAGAAGAGGAAGAGACCTCTGATAAGTCAGCTTCTAGTAAAAACCTCTGATTACATGGACAAGAATAACCCCTTCATGAGGCTTATCCTGGTTATCATCATATTCAGCATATGTACACATTCTGGTTTCTTTCAGTTATCCAGCTAGCATATTTGGGTTTCTCATAAACAGAATATGGTGTTTACATGCTTATACACATAACCCGGATACTCCAAAGACCCGATCATAAACAGGTTATTTATGTCCATGTTACTGCACTCAATGAATACTGCGGAATTCTAACCGGGAGTCCATGCTTGGCACACGGGAAAAGTTTCAGCTGGGTGCCACGAAAACCTACACACCACTCCTATAATCCTCTGACAGACTGTGAGATTTAACCGTCTGTTAAGTTTAGTGCAAGCTACACTGTGCGAATTGGATCCAATTAACTGCGGACTGTACGACTACAACACCTATAATCGCAGGCTACGATGTGATGCAATAGCTTCCCAGACTGAGTGTGCAAGCAGGTTGCACAGGGTATCACAGGGTATTCGCCAACTGTAAAGCACACCATGGAGGGTCACATTATCAAACGACCTAAAGTTTTGTGGGCACTATACTGCGGTGTGTGGCTGTGTGTTTGGTAGCTACAACTCCGCTGCTATTTCCTTCCATGCTTTGTCCTTCTTTACGCAATCATGGTAGGAGCTGGAGAACATATCATACAGGCGAGGCTTCCACTGCAACAACTTGACAAGGTTTTTCTCTTTGCTGGAACCCGACACATTTCTCTTTTTCCTTCATGGCGTGCTGCTATCCATACGTTTGTTTGGTTTTAGCGCCAGTGCGTAATTTCATGCTGCATTTCTATTGGTTGGTGAGTCGTGAGATGGAAGATCTTTCACACTGTGTGATGTAGGACCACTGTTTTCGAGCTACGACCAAAGATATCTATCAAGATTTGAAGAAATTGTAGCTTCTCAGTGAAGTCGTAGCTTTAGGGATGTATTTGCAAAGACTTATAAAAATGTGCTGCTTTTCATTAAAAACTCCAACCTCCTCTTCTCTCTCTCTCTATCCCTTCCTCTCCCCTCCCTTCCCCTCTTTGTCTTCTGTTTCTCCAAGAAGGTGATGCTTCCTACAGGAGCGGCGTTCCGGTGGTTCCAGTAGGACTCCTCCTCCACTCCCTACCCAAAGCTCTGCCATCAAGTGCAATGCCAACTCCTGGATTGTCTCCGGAACAGACACTGGCTAATAAACAAACAAGCAACAAATAAAATTATAGAAAAAAAAGCAACAAAAAAAACAAAGCAGAAAAAAAAAAAATCAATCGGGTAATGGATGCACCTACTTATTCCTTGAACCAAAAATGAAGCGTAAAGAAAAGCATCTATGGCAACTTTCATTCCCTTTTCTATGTTTCCATTTTGGTACCTTTTGTCCTTTTTCCAGCAGGTTTTTTTCTGTCGCTTAAACATGGAACTGTTCATTGCCAGAAACAGAAATGACGGACTGAGTGTGGACAATCAACTAATTTCTGTGTTTGGTGTTATTGTTGTTCATGTGTGGAAAGATACAGTACTTGTGTAGAGAATGTAAATTTACAGCTATATTTCAAAACTAGTGGCTAATGGCAAACATTATTGTAATTCTTCACCATTTCGTTACTTAAACCCTTTGTCTGTTTTACGATTCTTTTTGTTGAAGGGTCTAGTTTTCAGACAGATCGCCGGTTGTCTTTGAAAGACAAAGAAAATGTATCAAATTGTGACGCTGTCGATTTCGGATTTAAACTTAACTGAAAAAGTCATGTTACTGGGCGGATATCCAGAGACTCTTCACTGGGTTGAAGATGCTGTTCGCCAGAGCTGTCACTACTGTAATCTCCTCAATCAGCCCTCCTCTGCATTTCCAAACTTTTCCTTTCGTGAAACTGGCAGCCTTATGTTACTGTGGCCCTACTGAGCACGTGCCAATACTGCTCAGGGCAATAGCACTAAGAGACAGCACTTGCTCTGAGTCTACCCTACTGAACGCACTGAGACAAGATTACATTTTTTTTTTTTTATTTGTTTGTTTATTTGTTATATTTTCATGATTTTGTTATGTTGCTGGGTAGCTACAGCTTTTAAAAATAACCAATCTTTGTATTCGTTTAGAAAATTGGACTGGTTTTGTGAATAAAAAGGAATGCATGTATTCGTGTCAAAATTGACAATTCTGATGTTTGTCTACTTGTCTATTTGCATGTTTTGTTTTGTTTTTTTAAAGAAAACAACTGGTTTGACAAGAAGAAGTTTAAATTTTCCATGAATTGAGACAAATGTTCCCTTTTCCTTTTGTAATTGGATGGTGTTGGAAAATTCTCAAAGATCCTGACGCGAGCAGAACTCATTAAAAGTAAATCAGGCGGTGGTATGGATCACCATGATGTCCTTGGTTTGACTGAGATATTTCTCTCACTGCCTATGTAATATCTTCCTATAGTGGAATGACTGATGGAGCCTTGCTATGCTAAAATGTAACCAAAATGATTTAAAAGATGTTTGAATAAGAACAATTTTGATTGCAGTGTTTCTTCAAAATGCATGAAACCTCCTGAAAATCCTCCCAAATGTCTTTTTTTTTTTAAATTTTTTATTCCACAATAATTTTCCCTGTTCTCTCAGATCTTTGTGACATTCAGCCTCTGTGACATTTACAGTCAGAAAATCATTAGTAGTCATGGATTACTGATGGGAAGTTTTGTCTTTGGAGCTATTAAGGCTATTGAGAAGATGCCTGGGTAAAGTGTCTGTGTTTAGGGTTGTGTTATGCATACATGGAGAAGAAGGGAGTTTGGATAAAGACATGGATAAGTAAAAGCAGTGCTGATTTAAAAAAAAAAAAAAAAAACCTTTCCAAAATGTGGTCAATCTCACATGGGTCTCAGTGTAATTACTGATTCTAATGCCTCGGGTCTGTGACACTAGAGTGAATTTCCAATTCCTGCTAAGTGATGATTCTCAGTGATTTTTTTTTCACAGCTCCATAGTCACTCTTTCATATCCAGGTGGGGAGTAGATGTAGATTTCTGCTGCAGCCTTAGTGCTGAGTGTTTTTAATTAGTGAATATCCGCGGTGGAAGGCCCAGTATGGTGGGCTTGTGTACGAGCTCGTGATCAGCTTGGCGAGCGGAGGGTTGGAGAGTGTAGCTATATTCCCAGCTTCCCCCCCGGTGACAGTGCTGGGCTAGTGCCATCGCCATGGCGATGGGGGGAGTGTGTGCGTGATTGTGTGTGTGTGTGTGTGTGTGTGTGTGTGTCTGGGGGTTGGGGTTGGGGAGGGGGGGTGGCTCAGGCCTTTCATTATTAATGTGCACCGCGGCGTCCTTACCTCCTCTGAGCCCGCACAGCTCACTGCCTGACCTGCCATCCAAGGGAGAGGGAGTGGGGAGGGGGGACTGAGGAGGCAGAGATAAAGAAAGAGAAGTGAGCCAGAGAGAAAGAAAGAGACAGCACAACTAGTGTATAGAGCGCAAGCACACGACTGGAAAGTAAAAATTCATTCATGTACTTTTATTTCACATTTACACCTGAGACCTAACAAACAAGAGATTAGGATTTTCAGTCCGGGGTGTGGCTGCAGGTGACCATGGCTCCTGCCTGCTGAGGTGTAGCAGCCCAGGGGTTGTGTGTGTGTGTGTGTGGGGGGGGGCATCAGGTGGTGGCGGTTGTGGTTGTCTTCATGCAGAGGGGTGTACGGCTTGGTGAGCAGGCCTGTCACACTGGGAAAATCCTGGAATCTTATCACCGCCTCACAGACTCTGAGCCGCACTGATCTACTCACCCTCATTGCCAGCAGACATGCCCTTCCCCCCATCCAAATGCCCCTGCACAGGCTGGCCCCTTCTCGGCTCGCTCGCCACCTTCTTCGAACGGGGAGATAGCAGGAACTGATGCAGTCCAATTGTTGAGGAGGGAGGAATGTTGCTCGTAAAATGTGACTAACAGGAAGAAAAAAAAAAAACACACAAGCTTTGCAAGTGAGTACACAGGCCGGAGTGCTGGGGACTCAGTAGCGACCATTGAGGAACACAACGTGGTGTATCAAAGAAAGGTTTTATTGAAGTTGTTACCAGACAACATTGTTATAGGAGTGTCAGATCTACTGTGTGAAAATACACAAACAGCTGCATGGGCAAAGACCAGACAGTGTGCTGCGCTATTCTTATGAATATAATCTGATACATTTAGATTTGGGGAATTTAAAATGTTATTAGTATCTGGGGCTATCACATTCATTTCTGTGTAATGAGAGAAACTGGGTGGAAAAGTCATTAGGGTTCATATAATTTGTTTTTAACCACATGTTCTGCAAAGAAGTTACAACAGCAAAAACAAAGGTCACATATGATGTAACTGTGTTAAAATGTGTATTTTCCACCGTGCATCAGAGTGTGACGCTTTTTTCAATCTGGACTCAGTTGGTTTAGTGGTTAAAAGTGTTCACAACATTACTCAGATTCATCCAGAACAGTACTTTAAGCTATCTGATTTTTCAAAGATGTACTCCTTTTTATCCTTCATGAAGTGGTACTGGTTGCTATGCCAACTGTTGTAGCAACAAAGGTAGCCATATTGATTTTTTTTTTTTTTTTTTTGTATTTGGTCCTTTTCTTCAAGAGGAATAAAGTAAGAACAGGAAAAACTATGTAACATAGAATTAAAAACTGTTGCATGAAACCTAAATCCCCTCAGAATACAGTATGATATTATTTTTGGCCTATATCAGATTTAAACATTGTATTTGTGGATATTATCAATACAAATTTTTGGTAATATGATAAATGTAGATCATTCTAAAAAAAAAAAAAAAAAAAAAAACGACTAAACGCACCTTTTGGTGATATTGCACTTTCCCAGAGTGCTCTGCTTGGTGAATGATGTCACACTAAAACACAGAAATCAATGCAGTCAATACTCCTGTTGAGTATTGATCTTTTGAGATTGGTGCATTCTCTGTTTAACTGATTTGATAGCTGAGAATAAAAACATGTATGAACGCTGATGACAGATGTTGTCAGGTCATGGACTCTGTGGCCAACCCTAATAAAAGCAACAACAGCTATAGTGATAACGATAATATCATATTTACCTGACCATGCACATATCAGTCATTAAGAGCAGAGCTAAATGTCTCAAGTTAGGTAAATTAAATTGTTAGTAAAGAGGTGAATGCCACCCAACTGTGGCCTCAGTGTTCTACATCACAAATCATTTTTGCAGGACTATTCGTAAGAGGAGCCTATCCCCCTTCAACTTCACTTACTATACTTCTATTAAAGCTCAGACTCACCAGACATTAGGGCTGCCCACTAATAGTCGACTAAACGTTAGTCGACCAGAGAGGTCATTAGTTGGCAAGGTTTCATTGGTCACTTAGCCGCAGAAAAACCCCCAAAAACAAACGTGAAACTCTTAGGAGCTGCGCCTTGTCAAAATAAATCAAAACCTATATGACTGGACCATGTGGGAATTTAATTTGAAAGGACAGATACAGGAAGTGGCCACACTCAGCAGTCAGAAAGGAGTCAGGTTACAGACCGATCACAGCCCACAGATATCTTTCTAAAGCATGTGTACGGCCCCTAATTTACAGGGCTGGTACCTGCGGTTATTCCACAGGTTAGTTAATAACATGTCGGGCAGGAAATCCAAAGTGTGGGATCATTTTGAGAAGGCAAGGGACGAACCCAAGGTGATATGTAAACTCATCTTCATTAGTCGACTACAAACATGATGTATCATCTGAAACATGGAATTAGCTACATGCCCATTAGCCACTTAGCACAATCAACACTGCTTTGCCGACACCTTCAACTCAAACCATTGTGTTAATTTAATAATTAAAGTAATATGGTAAACATGTGGGCGACTAGTCGACTAATGGCCCTAAATGACAACTATTGGTCGACTTAGAAAACTCATAGTTGGGGGCAGCCCTACCAGACATACAGACATATTGGATGCTGGGCCACTCAGAGTACAGTATTAACAGTGTTATGAGAAAGCTAGCAGATAAAGAAGCAGCAGCAGGTTTTTACTGCTTCTGTTTTTTGTGCTTTGGGACAATTAAGACAGCTGTTGGTCACATATGAAGCTTGTCATATGCTGCTGAAGATCTCGTTTGTGCCATAAGGCCCATTAACCGCTTATTATTTTGCTTAATGATGTATATATTGCAACATTGGAACAACTTGGAATTTTGGGAACTGTACCAGACATCAATGCGGTTTCTATGGCTCTCATTCATTTACATGTATGTGTTGAAGTGGGAAGGATGAA